GGCACAGACACACACTCAACATCACGGCATCCTACGGCAAACACACACTCAACATCACGGCATCCTACGGCAAACACACACTCAACATCACGGCACAGACACACACTCAACATCACGGCACAGACACACACTCAACATCACGGCACAGACACACACTCAACATCACGGCACAGACACACACTCAACATCACGGCATCCTACGGCAAACACACACTCAACATCACGGCATGAGCCGGGTGGAGGTTTGAGGCTGTGTGTGAGTCGATTACCTCCTCTTTTCTGTTCATATTTTCTTCAAAATCACGAACACCCATAATGCCCTTCAGACACACGGCGCGACAACCCACGACTCCCACCTGACAGTCGAAGAACGGCTCACCCATCATCAGAGCCTGAAACACACACACTCAATGAGCACAGGAGGGGATCTGGAGCCGGCGATGTGTGTGTGTGTGTGTGTGTGTGTGTGTGTGTGTGTCACCTCCACTGTGATTCCCTCCTGCTCCACACTCAGCACCTCCCGGGACTTCAGCTTCTGCGGGCTGTAGTAACTGCTCTCAGAACAGCTCTCCGTGAGCTGCAGACACAACCACACGCGATTAAAGGAGAAGTTCACTTTAAAATCAACATCAGTCCAGTCAAGTTTATTTATATAGAGCTTTTCACAATATAGATGGCATCAAAGCAGCTTCACAGTATCAATCAAACCTTAAGAACAATATCAGTAACAAAATCATTAGCCCATGATTTACTCTCCCTCAAGCCATGACTTCCTCCTTTCAGACGAACACAATCAGAGTTAATTAATTACACACCCTGACTCTTCCAAGCTTGATAATGGCAGCGGATTGCAACCAAAAGCTCAAAAAGGCAAATTCATCCATATTTTTTTAACATAACTCTTTCTTTTGTCTGAAAGAAGAAAGTCATATACACCTTGGATGGATTGAGGAAGAGTAAATAATGGGGTGATCTTCATTTTAAAGGGAGACTCATGAGAACTGCTGCTATTTGGGTCATTCTGGGTGTTTCTCTCACCTTAAAAGTGAGCGAGGCTTTAGTGCAGTAGAAGCCGATGGACACTACAGGGTCTCTGGGGGACCTGTGCAGGGGCCGGGCAGAACCCGCCTCCGTGGACTCTGTGTAGAAGCCAGACTCGCCCTCACCCTCCTCATCCTCTGCGCTCACGATGGCCGGGACGAAGGACCATGCCCACGACACCCAGCCCTGATCTTCATCCTCGTCCTGATAGTACTGACCCGTCAGAGACGCCTCGGAGCCGTCCATCAGACCTGCGGGACACAGTGAGGATCAGACTGGGATCAGACGCTTCTCACAGAGCTCCTGATATGTATTAAAGGGGACATATTATATAGCGCTATAATCGAGTCCCGGTGCTTCTACCGACACAGAACAAGTGAGACGTGAAACCCAGTAACTGTGTTTTGGTGAGTGTTTCTCTGAGAGCATGTTATAAAATAAGCCGATCAGATTTCGTGTCAAAATTAAAACGAAATCACAGAAGCGTGTAACAGTGCAGCTCTCCCTGAGTCTCTCCGGAAGGCGGAGCTAAAGCTGCTGTTACTCCTGATCCTGGGTCAGTCAGATCCGCCTGTGCTGTTATTGCCGGAGTCTCTGAAGCTTGTGTGAAGGCCCCGCCCTCTTCTGGATGGAGGCGGAGCTAAAACTATTTTGCATTTAAAGGGACACACACACAAAAACAGTGTGTTTTTGCTCACACCCAAAAAGGGGCGAATTTGACGAGCTGTAATGAATGATCTGGGGGATCTGGAGCTGAAATTTCACACACACATTCTGGGGACACCAGTGAAAAGAGGCATAATGTCGTTTTTAATTAAATGTCTCACTCAGTCTTCAAGTCACATCAGCTTTATTTCTATAGCGCTATTTACAGACTGTTTTAAAGCAGGTTCACAGTAATAAACACAAAAATAACAGAATCACTGATGCAAACCCACATTCACATGAACAGGGGAAGAGAGACGCAGAGACAAGCTCAGTTCATGTCCTTCAAAGAGATGCACTGGACTGAGCTGATCTGTGTGTTTCTATCGCCTCAGAAAAACACACACCAACACAAAGCAGTGCTCGACCCGCTCACCGGAGACGCCCTCTCGAAGGGAGCCACTCTCTTCTCTCTCGCCCTCTCGATGGACGCCCATCTCTCCGTAATACAGCGCAACACCCAACTCCATCAGCCGGATGAACATGGGCAGCTGCTGGTCCGTCAGAGAGAGTTTCAGACTCTCCACCATCGTGTGAACCTTAACACACACACACACACACACACAACAGTGACGAGGTGAACGCAAACGCCATCCTGACACACCGCAGATTCACTCTCTTACTTTAATGACGGCAGGGATTTTGGCATTGATGTTGTCGTAGGTGAAATGAAGACGAGTTCTGAAGGAGCACTTGTAGAGCAGAGGGTCCTGATAAAACTCGATCTTCCCACTGGCGTTACGCTTATCCAAGCACACAGTGCAGTCCGAAAAATTGATAACCTTCCTCAGGACCAACTCAGGAGCTACAGAGAGAGAGAGAGAGAGAGAGAGAGAGAGAGAGAGAGAGAGAGAGAGAGAGAGAGAGAGAGAGAGAGAGAGGAGAGAGAGAGAGGAGAGAGAGAGAGAGAGAGAGAGAGAGAGAGAGGGAGGAGAGAGAGAGAGAGAAGGGAGAGAGAGGGAGAGAGAGAGAGAGAGAGAAGAGAGAGAGAGAGAGGAGAGGAGAGAGAGAGAGGGAGAGAGAGAGAGAGAGAGAGAGAGAGAGAGAGAGAGAGACAGTAAGACAGTAAATGTTGGGTGTCAGCAGTTCGTCAGGTTTATTAGCTGTTTTTTACATCATGACACAACACAGCAGCAGAGTTTCTGAATGAGGGTCAAAGGTCAATGTGTGTGCAAGTCTGTCAATGAGAAATAGACATGATCCATTCCATCCAGACCCATCCAGTCCTACAACACCCCAAACTCACCCAACACTGCTGTGCTTGAACCCAGACTCATCACGAGTGTGTAAGGACACCGACACGAGTGTGTTCAGGAGCGTTTCTTTCATCATACGGTCATTGCTGTTAGACACGCGTGTGAACATGTTTTACTCACAGACGATGTCCATGAAGGCTCGGTCCCACAGCTCGTCCACCGTGTAGCACTCCGCTGACGTGATGTTCACCGACAGCACGATGTCATCCTCCACGTACTTCAGGATCAGGTTATTGACCAGGATGTTGACGTTATTCACCACCCTGCGGATCAGACTCTGCACGTATCCTGCAGACGGACCACAACGAAACTCTTACTCTGATCAACAAATGCACACACAAAACAATCAACATCCCATAATAGTGCCTGAGGTCAGTGTGAGCCCTGCGCTCTGCAAACACACACACACACACACAGCGCCGGCTCCGCTAATCACACCGGGAGCTTCTCCATTCACTGCGTCTCACACACACACACACATGCGTCACTCAACACAACGCTTAGATTAACTACACACTTATCACAATCTCACCCATTTAGTCAATCAATTGGGCAGTGTGTGTGTGCTGGAGTCTGAGGGTGTGTGTGTGTGTGTGTGTGTGAGTGTTGGCTCGAGTAGCACATAAAGCTGTTGGTTTTTCCAGCTAGTTTACGAGAGCGGTGTGTGTGTGTGTGTGTGGAGTAGCGTGTCCTGCAGGTGCAGCGGAGCCGGACAGAGTTTATGGAGGAGCGCAGGGAGAGGAAAGCCTCCGCTGGATAAATTAGATCCAGAGCACTAACAGGGAATGAGTTTATGACGGGGAATGCAGGTGCTACACACACACACACACACAGACCCGCCGCTGACCCGCGTGTTTAACACACACCCTCGACTGCACACACTGACGCTCACGGGAAATAATACACAACTGCAGACGATCCTGTAAAACACTGGATTGTTCTTCACCTGATCCCGAGCTCATTAATAACACACACACACACACACACACTCACACACACACACACACACACTCACACACACACACACACTCGCACAGGAAGACAAACATTTGAGTTGGACTACCAGGGAAAAGCATTAAAGTTTTATAAGCTGGAGTGGGACCGCGAGTCCTGCCGTCGGCCCGCGCTGAAGCTGCCCATGCTGGGTGTGTTAGTGTGTGTTAGTGTGTGTTAGTGTGTGTTAGTGTGTGTTAGTGTGTGTTAGTGTGTGTTAGTGTGTGTGTTAGTGTGTGTTAGTGTGTCTGGAATGTTTTCCGTATTTTGGTACTTTGTTGAGTAATAATGACCTAACAGCATGAGCACTGTTCAGCAGGAGCTTCTGGTCTCACACACACACACACACACACACTCAGACTCCAGCGGGCCTCAGCTCATCATAAACAGAAACACACTCATGCACATCTCGTCAGAAACGAACACAATCTAACAAACTACGACAAATCTTCTGTTTCTGAATCCCTCGTGAGAAGGAATGAGTGTGATGATGATGAGCACAGGAACGTGTCCGTCGCGGGCTCTGATCCACACACACACACACACACACACACAGGAGCGGACTCCTGATGATACCGAGGGGGTTAGCGCTCGTTTTCCCTGATTTACACAGAACATCTGACGAGCTGCTGAACCTGACACGGACAAAAACATCTTCTGAATGAATAAATGTGTGCTAATAACATGAGAAAATATATCAGAAATGTCTTACTGAGTGAAACAGAAGTGCCTGTGTGTGTGTGTGTGTGTGTGTGTGTGTGTGTGTGTGTGTGTGTGTGTGTGTGTGTGTGTGTGTGTGTGTGTGTGTGTGTGTGTGTGTGTGTGTGACCAAATGTCCCCACAAATATACGAAAGGCTTTCTGCTGGTCTTCACACAGATAATGTATTAATAAACATAAAAAAATGTTTTATTTTGGTTGAAAAAGTAAAAATGCAGAAAGTTTGTGTGATTGGTTAGGGTAGTGTGTGTGTGTGTGTGTGTGGATGTGGGTGGGTGAGCGAGCTTGAATTAAAAATAAACAGTGTGCTGCGCTCTGATGGGGTCCGTGGCCCTCACGCATCACTCAAACACACACACACACACACACACTCATGCTCACACACACACACACCTGGGGGCAGGTCCGGGTCGCTGGGGTTCTGCTGCACACGTCGAGGTTTGGCCGACGCCCTCGAGCTCTCAGACGCGCTGCGATTGGTGGAACTGGAGCCACAGCTCTCACTGTCATCCTGCACACACAAACAACACAATAACAAGCTTACACACCTGAGAGAGGAAGAGTGTGTGTGTGTGTGTGTGTGTGTGTGTGAAGGAATGAGGGATAAACAGCAGTAAAGGGTTATTTGTGGTTTATTGCGGTGTGTGTGAGTGAAGAAGAGAATCAGACGAGTGGATGTCGAGGTCAGACACAAACGTCCCAGAATGCCCATCACTGATAACACACACTGTCACTGATAACACACACTGATTTACTGGAGAGATTCACTTTACTGCATCAGTAACGGCCCATACACCCCCACAGCCCGACCTTTGACCTCAGACAACATCACATGGGCCTTGAGTTAAACACACTCAGTCAACCTCCGTAACATCAACAAAACCCTTAACCACACACACACACACACACACACACACACACAGCTCCAGCTGCGTTAATGAAGACACCTCACACACACACACACACACACACACACACACACAGGAGAGGAGCGATTAACAGTTCATTCACAGACGAGCTGCTCTGTTACTCGAGATTGAATCTTCAGCTCAGCAACTCCTGATGATTATTCACACACCTCCACGTCTGCACACACACACACACACACACACACACACACACACACGCATCGTGAACATGAAGTGTATATTCTGCAGGATCATATTCAGCCGCTCAGAGGAACTGTAAAAACAAACTCACTCATTAGATCATTAATCACCAGAACAACTCAGAGCTGAGCAGACACTAACCCTCCTTCTGCTCGCAACACACACACACACACACACACCTGAAACACACACACACCTGAAACACACACCCCACAGTCTGTCGCCCCATCCATGAGCACACTCTTCAGTTCTTCAGTCCGTATAACAGAAAGGTTCTATATAAGAAGAAATGCCTTAAATAATTGTGTAAACCGTTCATGTTTGACGGCTTATTGACATGCTCTTACTGTGTTTACATGTTGCTTATTTCATGAAATTAAACTAAAATTAAAAATGAATTAAAACTGAATCCATTAAATAATCTCGTATAGAACCGTTTCTGCTAAGAGTGTGTTCTGTGTGTTCTGCCGCATGCGTGTGTGTGTGTGTGTGTGTGTGTGTGTGTGTGTGTGTGCTGTCGGGTCTCAGCTTTACCGGCGCATAATTTGTCTCAACGTCATTTGCAATTTTCCAAACGTTCTCTCTAACCCGGCGGACGGCTCTGTGAAACACATCTGCAACACACACCTGTGTGGGAACGTCCCAGTGTATACGGCAGTCGCTCACACACACACACACACACACACACACATGTTCCAGATCTGTTCTGCAGAAGCCGTTATAATCAGCTCTAATTGACTTCCCTCCTAAATGTGTTTCTAACTGGCCATCTGGACCTCCTCAGACCGACTCGCTGAACAACTCGAGATCTCCGACTGCATGGCGAGCTTTATTTCTACAGCGCTTCATGTTTCACAGAAATAAACAGGAAATAACTGAGAAAAAAATCTGATTCTGCTGTAAAGCCACTCTAAAAATGATCTCGTGTGTATCTTGTGTGTATCTCGTGAGCATCTCGTGTGTATCTCGTGAGCATCTCGTGTGTATCTCGTGAGCATCTCGTGAGCATCTCGTGAGCATCTCGTGTGAATCTCGTGAGCATCTCGTGTGTATCTCGTGAGCATCTCGTGTGTATCTCGTGAGCATCTCGTGTGTATCTCGTGAGCATCTCGTGAGCATCTCGTGTGTATCTCGTGAGCATCTCGTGAGCATCTCGTGTGTATCTCGTGTGTATCTCGTGAGCATCTCGTGTGAATCTCGTGAGCATCTCGTGTGTATCTCGTGTGTATCTCGTGTGTATCTCGTGAGCATCTCGTGTGAATCTCGTGAGCATCTCGTGAGCATCTCGTGTGTATCTCGTGAGCATCTCGTGTGTATCTCGTGTGTATCTCGTGAGCATCTCGTGTGTATCTTGTGTGCATCTCGTGTGCATCTCGTGAGCATCTCGTGTGCATCTCGTGAGCATCTCATGAGCATCTCGTGTGTATCTCGTGAGCATCTCATGAGCATCTCATGAGCATCTCATGTGTATCTCGTGAGCATCTCGTGTGTATCTCGTGTGCATCTCGTGTGCATCTCGTGTGTATCTCGTGAGCATCTCGTGTGTATCTCGTGTGTATCTTGTGTGCATCTCGTGTGTATCTCGTGTGTTTCTCGTGTGTATCTCGTGTGCATCTCGTGTGTATCTCGTGTGCATCTCGTGTGCATCTCGTGTGCATCTCGTGAGCATCTCGTGTGTATCTCGTGAGCATCTCGTGTGTATCTCGTGTGTATCTCGTGTGCATCTCGTGTGTATCTCAGACACTGACCGCGGCTCCGTCCCGCAGCTTGAGGATGCACTCCATGGTGTTGATGGTGATGACCACGGGCTCGGAGCTCAGTTTGGTCCAGGGCACGTGGATGCGCAGCTCGTGGATGTGGCCGCTCAGGAACATGAAGGGCAGCTTGAGCTCCTGCACACACACACACACACACACACACACACCATCTGTCAGTTAAAACACTGAACACAACAAACGTATCGCAGTAGAGCTCAATCAGACAGATCGTACAGAACAGGGTCACCCGACAATTTGGCGAAACACCAAGTGAGCGACCACTCAGAACTTCTAGAAATGAACCAGATATGTCAAAGCTTTAATACATATTCATATAAAATGTGGATTTCTTATTCAAACCCAGATTCTATTATCCAGCATCTCCTCTTCCTCTTTCCTCCTCATCACCAAACATGTGTTTCAGGAGGACAGACGCTTTTAATGTCCGCTCTCGCTTCAGTGCAGATGAGCCAGCGCTGTTCTGTGTGGCGTAGTGACGAGTGTGTTCAGGTTAGCAGATATGAGCAGATTCTGTGTTTAATATATCACGATGACTCGCGAGTATTTGCATCGGTTTGTTTTACTCGAACTTCTCCAGCAAAGTGAGTAAACACGATAAGTAACACACCAACTTAGCTTGTGATGTGACAGCGTTACTCGCCACTGCTGATTCATACCCGCGTCTGGCGGATGCTAGTTTCAGACCCTGCTACAGAAGTGGCGAGAGCACAGGCTTCGAGCGCCTCCAGAGCCGGTCCGGCCGGACTCCAGTCGCTTCCACAGGAGATCTGCGAGGAAAGCTCGACTCCCGCTCGGCACGAGGAAACTGCATCTAATAATATCCTGCATCAAAGTCTGAGAGCCAAACATTCTCACAACATGACACAGTGATCCCTTCCAGAGATTACAACTGCAAAAGCTCAGAGTTGCCCAAACACGAAAGCTAAGCAGATCTGGAGTTGGTGCGAGCGAGTGTCCGACGGCGAGAGCGACACTCATGCTATCTTCAGTGTTCAGCTCTCTGACGCCATGGTGCTAATGCGGTCAGATAGATCTACACCACGTCAGGGATAGATTAGAGTTTTATCGAGAAACTCAATTATGATTTCTTCTTTTCTAACAGATTAACTTGCTACATTTCCACCCACTGGCCAGAATGAGGCGCTGTTATTCTCCTCGCCCTCGACGATGCGAACGCGGCCTTCCCTGTCGGACCTGCCGGCGCTGCCAGACAAAGATAAACATCAATAGAGATAAAAAGACAAAATATTAAATGTCATGGATGTTTGTTTATTGGGTAATCCACTGTTTTGTAGAGGGTGTGTGTGTGTGTGTGTGTTTTTTTTTATTTTATTTTCCACAGATATTAGTGGATCTATTAGTCAAATCTGATGATTTGAGCGATCTCTGCTTCGTGATACGCCGACAGTGAAAGTTCACAAACTGGAAAAAGCACTTTTTTTCGCCTGCCTGAAACTCGAGGCGTATTAAAGATATCATCCGTTCAGATTCTGGCTCTTAACAAACTTTCCTTCAAGGCTGTACATGGTTCAGTCCCAGAGATACGGAGATCTTTATGTGGCGCTGCGAGTAAACACACGTTCAGTGTTCGAAACCCAGACGCGGGTCACTGCACACAGCTAATACTTTCTCTCCATGTAAAAGGGCATATCTGAAGGACATTAATGTTGAAACTAGACATGTGTTAGTTTTCTTCTATCAGCTCTCCTGTCTAACCCTCAGCCTAACCCTTGGGCCGACCTCAGCACATGTTGTTCAGGAGCGCTTCATGAAAACTCCTCCAGACACACACTCCGGCATGTTCAGCTGTCAGACGCCACTGGAACTACACAAGCGCCTTTTGGCAGCAAACACACCAGATGGGATATAAAGCTCCCCATACAGCGCTGGACCTCTAATGCTGTGGGACCGTCCTCTGCTGGAGGTGCTGCACTGCCCCAGACACATGCTATCATGGATTCTAGCAAATACAACAGGGTCGGGTCGTGAGTGTGTGTGTGTGTGTCGGGTCGGTCGCTCTCACCTGCTCCAGCACGTCCAGCCTCAGGTCCAGTTTGCTCAGAACCACGTCTCCGCCCCATAACGACAGCTGCAGGTCCGACGGCTTCAGGTTCTTTATGTAGCGGTTCACATAACTCATCAAGAGAGGAGAAACATACGACTCCAGCATCCTGACCAGCCCTCGTGCCTGACACACACACACACACAGAGAGATACACACATACAGTGAGAGAGAGGGATACACACACACAGATACAGAGAAAGATACACGCACACACACACTTCAGTCAGATGACTACAGAATCTATATAGACCATAACTGGCATGAAAACAAACACACACCTGCTCTCCTAAACGGCTTCCTTTAGCTTTCTCATTCAGTTTAGCAACTGTTCTCTTTGTTTATTCCCCTAATCTGTCTCTTTTTGGCTGTGTGTGTGTTCGGTTAGGTAGGTCGGTAGGTGTGTATGTGTGCGTTCATTGTTTAGGTTCAGGGGCAGGGTTAGTGTGTGTGTGTGTGTGTGTGTGTCTGAGGTGACCTCATAGAGTTAAAGAGAAACTTCGGCTGAAATGGGAATCGCACATCTGTCTAATGTTCTGTTTTTCATTAAACATTATAGAATAACAGAAGAAGAGATGTGTTCCTTTCTATTACAGATCTATATTCCAGACACAAGCCCGTGTTTGACTAACTGTGACTACACAAGTATTACAAGTCATTACAAACGGATGATTTATTCAATAAGCGATTAAAATGTGGGCCTTTATGATCGCACTGTTATAGTTCTAGAATATGAATATTAACAGACGCGGAGTTTCACTGTCTTCACTGACAGACGAACATGAGCAGCCTGACAGAGCTCTAACACAACTAACACACACCTGCACACAACTAACACACCTGCAGCTGATGTCAGTCTCAACATCCGGCGAAACACTTCAGTGCCACAAACACACAAACACACACTTACAGCTTCATCCGACGCGTCCAGCTGCTACAGAAATACAAACAACACCAGCGCATGCATCACTTCCGCATACGCAGACGCTACGTCACTGCCTGCGTCGACGCGTCACTTCCGGCACGGAGCTGGCGCAAAAGAAGATGCGCATGCGCGTCATCACAGTTCGAATCAAATCTGTGTTAAGACGCATTCAGTTTCTTTCACACACAAAACACTGATTATCAGTTGCGTTATACGTCTAAATACGCGTGTTTAATATTCATTAGCTACTGAAACACGCATTATACACAAATAGGCCTAATCATTATTCTGACAGTAGCCTACAAGCTAATCATCATTATTAAACACCGATATCAGTGTTTATAATGCAGGAATGATTTATTGACGAGTATCTGTGATAATTAGGCTTACTCTCCTGTTTATGAAGCTGAAGCTGCAGAGAAGGACTGACTCTATAAACTCTATTATAGCCTAAAGTCTATACAGTTCGGCTGGAGCACATCAGAAACTCCTGCACTTTATTAATATAAATCAGTAAATACTGATCATATAATATTAAACACTAATATTGTCTAATAATTTAGTATTAGGCACTGACAATAGTTGTTGTTATTAGCTATTATTATTGTAGCCAGTGGCATACATAAAAAGCTGCATTTAAACAAGGACTAGCTCTATTAATCATTATCAAATAGCCTAAAAATATTTTTTTTTTTTTTATTAAACACTCCTAATGATTATTATAAACACAGGATTATTGTAATTCAGCTCATCAGGGCAGAGTTTGGGAATCACTGAATGCGTGTTTATATTTCTGCAGCTGTTATTGCTGCTCAATATCATATAGGCTATTTCTTCTGTCTTTGTGATTTGCCTTTTGCTGAATATTGAGTAGGTCCAACCTCATATAATCATTAGATGGGAATCAGTTTCAGATCATCTTCTGTTTTATTCACGGAATTACACGTTTATGAATCGCGTCGTTTGTACGAAATTAGGCAATTAAAACACATTCAGCCTAATTAATCTGAAATGTATTTTACGGGTTAAATTTCACATGCTCATCGTTCACGCGCGGCATTGTTGATTTCCAATATTCACAGTCAAAATTAATATTAATTCCAATATTCATTTCATTTCTTCAAATGTTTCCGTCTGTTTTTTCTGTTTACAAAATGTGAGAATTTTACTTTCTACCTTAGGCCTATTTATATTTTAATAAGGATCATTATTAATCTAATATCGCGTGTTTTAAATATGAAACCATGGACTGTGCACTATTTCACAGATTAAAGACGACGCGCTGTTATTTTTCTGAAATCATCAGTTCACGCGCAACAAAAATACATTAACTCGCATAATGTTACAATTTTAGTGACGTGAGTAACAAATACATTTTTTAGACAATATAATATTTATCCAATTATTACAAATGAGTTTTTACACAATATGCTATATTTCATAGTTATAGGCCTATTCAGTTTAACGCTCTGCAATTTAATACGCTCTTATAATAGGCTAATTATTGTAACAATAAAACGAAAGAACCATAACTGTAATTTCACGTTAGAAATCATCCCAAGTCTCGGGACATGTAATTAGAATTAGGAAATAAAATAAAATATTATAGGCTAAAACAATATATATATAGGCTATATATTTTTTTAAAGAACAAACGAAGATGTTTTTGATACAGAATTTCAGTCACAATTCAAAAGAAAAACTCTTTAATTCCAGAATTGATGCGTGTCTGTCATCTCGTGGGTGTCTTTGGCTGAAACACATGTCCTCAATCCTGCAGTTTCGAGCAGCTGCTTTATTTACACACTGATGTGAACACAGTTTGAGTTCAGATGCAGGTAATAATAAAAATAACAATCAAGACTTTATTTACATGAGTTCACAGAGTCTGTTTAGATGCTTGAGTCTCCGGTTCTCTGTCCGCCAGAGGCTCGAGATCAGAGAGATCCTGTTAGTTAGTAGTCCAGCTGTGTGTGTGTGTGTGTGTGAGTGTGTGTGTGTGTGTGTGAGTGTGTCAGACTGTGTTAGTTAGAGTGTGTGAGGAGAGTGTGTGTGTTTGTGAGGAGTGTGTGTGAGTGTGTGGCGCCTCAGGTCGCAGTTGCGCCGGAACTCTTTCCCGCAGCGGAGGCAGCAGAAAGGCTTGAGGTCTGTATGGGTGAGAAGGTGAGTTTTCAGGTTACTTCTTTGATTAAAGGTTCTTCCGCATGTCGGGCATTTGTGAGGAGATTCCTGTTCAGATTTGAAGCAAGCAAAGGATTATTCCCTTTAGTTTTCCATCAAATATGCAGATAAGCTTCATTCTCAACATTTGAGGCCCAGATGACAAAAGCGCGAGGATCGTCAACAATCAATCAATCAAGAATGCGCGTGCACCCTAACGACGAGCACGAGCGCGTGTTTCTGCAGAACATTATTCATGCATATAAACAGTGCAAACGATTTACCTGCAAGTGCAACGTTTTATGAACCGCCAAAGTCCGCGACTGGCAGAAGCCCTTGCCGCACTCCTGGCACTTGAAGGGCTTCTCCTTGGAGTGGATATATCTGCAAAACAACATCCGTCATAACTCGCAACAGCAGAAACACTTCCGCCCTGTTATCTCTGTAAAGCTGCTTTTAAAACTATCTGCATTGTAAAAACTGTGAACAATTATATGATAAGTTATGACATATTTTTACACGGCTCATCAAAATAAGCAGTTTTCAACTTTTTTGTAGCCTAAGTTATAGCCCACACGAATAAACTCATTTTTAAAGTCAGTTTAAAGTATTTAAGTTGAAATGACTTAAACATCCAAATTGCCTGTATACTTAAAAATGTAAGGCAGCAACTTTCACAGTGATACAGCTTGATTCATAACTAATACCTGCGAGAGCACGCAGAACATCATCCGCTCGTGCACACTCTTACAGGTTTTAAAGTGTGACCGTCAGCTCATTACTCCCATTACTCCCATTATTCCCATTACTCTCCGTGTGCAAGAGTTTCCCTCATAAAGAACCGCGAGTAAGATTGGATGTTAAATATTCTTTAGCCTATGGAGCCATCGATGAGAACATTTATATTTCAGAGTGCAGCTTCCCACACACACACACACACACACACCTGTGGTCCCGCAGGTGGTCTTGTCTCCTGAAGGCCTTGTGGCAGATGTCGCAGGTGTACGGGCGCTCGTCCGTGTGTGTCCGCTCGTGGATCAGCAGATTGTAGGACTTTGTAAAGTGTCTCCCGCAAAACTTGCAAATAAATTCCTTTTTGCTCTTGGACGGGAGTCTCCCGCGCGCGGGCTTGCGGTCCGGGCTCAGTTTCCCCAGTGTTCCCAGTGTTCCCAGCTCCACTCCCGGTTTCGGCGGGTCCTCCTGCGTGGCCGCGAGCGCGAGGTTGGCGAAGTCGAATCGCGGTCTGTCCTTGTGCAGCGCGGGCACGACGCGCGTCACCGATCCGTGTTTGGGGAACAGATGCGCGGCGAAGGGAAGCGTCGCGGTGAACGCGAAGCGCGGGTCCAGGAGCCCCGGAATCTGCGGGTACCCGAGGGCCCAGTGGTGGATCACGCTGTGGCCGGAGCTCAGCCCGTAGCGGGGATCCGCGCCCGCGGGGAACTGCAGGAACAGCGCCGGGTGAAGCGGCACCGGGGCCGGGAGAGTCTTACTGCCCATATCAGATCCTGGGGGAAACACACCGGAACAGCTTTTATTCACAGTTTTAAAGTTGTTTCCTTATTCAAAACATGCAGGAAATATATTTTTCAGTTGCATATTTATTATTGTGGGTTTCTCACATGTAAAGCATTGCTTAGCGCGGTCATCATTTTATTATCCACAGATTTATTTCTTGCTCTTGCTTTTTTCTCTCTCTCTCTTTTTTTCATGTGCCGTTCGGTAGGCTATATCCAACTTTAAACAAGTTGTCATGCAAACACTTTTTTAAACAACCAGGTTACGACTGTATTATTGTGTGTGTGTGTGTGTCGCCTTTGGTTTTTGGTTTGCTGATAGGGACATTTAATATTCAACACTATTATTAAACTCAACATGAGAACTGAACTGAGCTGGACGGTGACATCACTAACTAAATAATATTTTATAATAACTAAATTAATACATTTTTTTATAACAGAAATGAAGCATCACTGAATTAATTTAAGCTGAACTGCGACGCTATTCTCTTCTAAACACGAATTCTGTTGCATTATGGTCCTGTTATCTCTGTAAAGCTGCTCTGAAACTCTGTGCTGCAGAAATAAAGCTGACATGTTCAAATTATGCGTATAATAATAGCAGAAAGTCACGAAACAATCTTGTCAAACGAGCCGAAATGAAATAAGCGAACATGAGTTTGAATCATCAGGCCTGATATTAATCTGGCTTTACCTCTAATATCTCTTATATATCTCATATCTCTGAATATTTCTGGAGGACAGTAATTTAGCATGGTTGAGATCTTCACATGTCAGACTGACTGTAAGCTACTTTTCATGCAGAAATTAAAATATGATTGTGAGCATAACCTTAAATAAGCGAGCGGTCAAGGCCTGCGCGAGGAGGAGTGCGCTGACCTTTATGAGACACACAGAGTTTCTATTAATACGCGTTTCTCGCTCCAGATGTGATCAGAACTCGGCGGAACCAACACGACAGCAGGACTTTTCCGAAAACAATTTTGCTTTTTTTTTTTTTTTTTTTTTTTTTTTAATATTTGTTCCCGCTTCATAAAATCGTAACTTCAGGATCAAAATGTCTTTAACATTAGTAACGCGTCCGCTGTCGAGTGCGCGCTCCGGTCCTCTGCTCTCGTGAACAGAACTGGACGGAACCCAATGAGAGTTCGAGCATTTCTGTCAAATGAAATGAAGTTGTTCTCTCACCCACAATGCAAAGGTCGCAGTTTGACTGTAAATCCACACAGACCGAGGAAGTTCAGCTCTAATTCATAACTACAGTTTGAACATGATAAACTTCAGGAGTGCGGCGAGAGAGTCCGGGATCTGGATCTGGACCGAGGAGTTCTGGCTCGGGCTCTTGTTCGAGTGGTGGAGCCTCACTGATCGACCCGCCCCCCTCTCTCTCTCTCTCTCTCTCTCTCTCTCTCTCTCTCACACACACACACACACACACACACACACACACACTCTCAAACACACACACACATATTCTCTCCCTCCTCTCTCTCCCTCTCTCTCTCTCTCTCTCTCTCTCTCTCTCTCTCTCTCTCTCTCTCTCTCTCTCTCTCTCTCTCTCATCACATACACACACACACACACACACACACTCACGCACACACACTCTCAAACACACACACTCTCTCATACACACACACTCTCTCATACACTCTCTCTCTCTCTCTCACACACACACACTCACACACACACACACACACACACACACACACACACACACACACACACACACACACACACACACACACACACCTGCAGTCTGTGAGTACACTATAAACATTTTCATTTCTCAATCACATCTGAAAGTGACAGAAAAAAAATAAAAAAAAGATAATTCTGCCACCATGTATTTTTTCCTCTTCTGGGGAAAGATCCGTTTTGCATTTTAAAATCATAATCAATAGGAAAAAACAAACAAACACATGCTCAGCTTTATAATTATAGCCTATTTATCAGTAATAAAATGCATAATTGTATGTCCTTTAAAAATATATATATTCTGTATATAAATAGCTAAATATAAAATGGAAAAAGGATGTTTTTTATATTTTGCAATACATTACATTTGTTTCTCTTCGTTTATTAACGCTATACTGCGAGTTAATAATTATTACAGCTTTCTCTTATTTGGACTAAAGCTCGAACACACACTTCTGAACGACACGAACACACACTCCTGAGCGGCACGAACACACACTCCTGAGCGACACGAACACACACTCCTGAGAGACACGAACACACACTCCTGAGCGGCAGCGGGTTCAGTGTTCAGAAGTGACGAGGTGACCTGAAGATGATTTACAGATATTAATAGTTAAAGCCAGATTCATCTATTGGATCACGGGCAATAAAACTGCAACAATTAGACTAACGGTTTAATAAAGACCATCTAATACTTTACAGGATAATTCGAAAATTATATGTCTCTCATCTTTTACTGTCCCTTCACAATCGGCTATCTTTCTTCAGTGGAACCATACAAATATTAGCGTGTTTATTAATATCGAACCGAACAATATCGGACCATATTAACAGAAGAAAACAAACGCTTTTGTCTTAAAAAATAACAATATTTTTAATGAGTTATGAGTTAATTTTAATGAGTTATATTTTTAATGAGAATGAGTTAATTGAAATAATTATTTTTTGTTTAAATCGCGTTCGAGTCTTTATATAGCCTGAGGTGAATTTGGGTTTATGGATGAGAAGATATGAGGAGATATCAGGCTTCATGTTTATGAACATTATTTCGACTGGAAACTCTTCGTTATGGAGTTATTAATGGAGTTATGTATCCATGTACATCGGATCTGGGAGAGAGATTAATGCTGTTTCTGAAGGAAGAGCGCCGCCTATCGGTCGCGGAGCAGAACTGCCTGAAACGATCACGATCTTTCTCTGAGAACAAACACTGTTCATGGATCATCATCATATTACAGAAGTATATCTTCAAGAAGACTGTCAGTCAGGAGGAAGTTCTTACAGATTCTGCTCCATATATATATCGTTCCAGCTCTTCCCTTGAGTTTAGTGAACTCATCGTGATGTTCATGACACCAGTCTGAGATGCTTGAGCTTTGTGAAGTGTGTGTGTGTGTGTGTGTGTGTGTGTGTGTGTGTGTGTGTGTGTGTGTGTGTGTGTGTGTGTGTGTGTGTGTGTGTGTGTGTGTAAGGTACGGATGGTCAGCATCAAGACTCGGGCCGGCTGTGGCGTTTAAACAACGCTCTACTGGTACTAAGAGGCCCAAAGTGAGCCATAAAGATGTATAACACACCATTACATCAGCCGCAGCCTGAGCCTCTGAAACACAGATGATCATGTTCAATCTGGACTCTGACAGGAGCGACTGAACATCATGTGTGTGTGAGAGAGAGAAGGATTGGTTTAAGTGTTAGTGTGTGTATGTGTGTGTGTGTGTGTGTGTGTGTGTGTGAGAGAGAGAGAGAGAGAGAGAGAGAGATGGGTAGGTTTAAGTGTAGGGTTAGTGTGTGTGTGTGTGTGTGTGTGTGTGATGGATAGGTTTAAGGGTTAGTGTGTGTGTGAGTTGTAGGTATAGGGGTCGGGTTAGTGTAAGGGGACAGAATATACAGTTTGTACAGTATAAAAACCATCAAGTCTATGGAGTCCCAAGACGTATAGCTAAACAAACGTGTGTGTGTGTGTGTGTGTGTGTGTGTGTGTGTGTATTGTAGCCTCAGTTTGCTGTTCTCATCTGTCAGGAGTGTCACCAGTGCAGTAGTTCTTCTGCTTCAAGGTCGTGTGTGTTGTGTGTTCAGATGCTCTTCTACACCTCGTCTGTAACCAGTGATTATTTGAGTTACTGTTGTCTTTCTATCAGCTGAACCAGTCTACTAAAAATCCTCTGACCCCAACAACATGCCATGTTCAAAGTCGCTTAAATAAACTTTCTGTCCTACTCCGATGCTCAGTCTGAACTTCACGGCTCCTCTTTATGTAGATCCTCTAGCTGCTGATTAGATATCTGTCTTAATGAGCAGTTGAAACCTAATAAAGTTGCTGGTGAGTGATATACTCACTAATACTCACTAAATAATGTTTATTTATCCAAACAAAAAACAAGACCTGCACAAACGATGAAAACATCACAAATATATCTATTTGATTTATATATATATATGTCATTAGTAGAAGTTTATATTAGATCTAGTTTGTTCCATGCTGAATCCTCTTGAAACGAGAGAAGTCAACGAGCTGAACTTCAGATTTGACTCCTGGTCTTCAATGAACACATTGTTCTGTTTTTCTAGGGTAAACTAGTTAATCTCTTCTGATAAGTTCACAGTACATGTGTGTGTTAATCAGATGCTTTTAACCAGACTTACAAATGAGCAGCAATACTGGAGCAGAAACAGTTTAATTTTAGATGTAAAGTTCATGTTGAGTTTTGTCAGCTGTCCTCTAATCACTAATACCCACTAATCGGTCAGTTATGAGCACACATATCTGTGTGTCTGGACACACCATCTATAATCTCTCTCTCTCACACACACACACACACACACACACACACTGATCCTCCGCAGAAGCACCACGGAAAACACACACACACTCTCTGTAATGGCCGCCGAACAATCAGCCACTAAAGTCCCGCTTACAGCTCCACAAACAGACGAGCAGCTGCCGACACACACACACACACACACACACGTATGACCAGCCGTTTTGCTCTAATGATATCCAAGTGTGTCTTGGGAACTCCAGCAGGAAGTAATGAAGACTCACATCACTTCCCCTCAAAAGGCCCGACACACGATTCCGAACCGTTTCACGGGTAACAGGGAAAAAGCCCAAAGAAACGAGGTAGTGTAAGTAAGCGGGTATTTACCTGGGATTCGCTGAAGAGCAGCTTCTCCTGGAGGTTGAGCTCGAGAGAGAGAAAGAGAGAGAGATAGAGAGACACAGGAAGACTGTGGTTTCAGCTCATCCTGCGCCGCTTCAGGGGGTGATCAAACACCCCCAAACGTGACATTTCAGGTACAAGCCTCTGTAGACACACACACACACACACACACACACACACATCCCGTTACCAGAACATCTCAAACACAACAGAGTTTAAGAGACATGTCATATTCAGTGATATTGTTGATCTGACGGCACTGATCAGATGAGAACAGAGCTGGATCTGAGTAATGACTCTCTCTTCTTCTGTAGAGCTGCTTCACTCCTGACTCTAATATTTGATGAAGTTTCATCAGTGATTCTGATATTCTCCTGTTTATTAAAGTAAAGCTGCTCTGAAACGATCTGTACTCTATTATGCTGAGCTGACTGTGGAGATGAAAGTGAAACACTATTATTTTTTAATAAAACACGCTCAATAAGAATTATTCATCATTTGTAGTTTTAATTGAGTAATTTACTTAATGTGTCAATTATGCTCTGGCAAAATCTTGACAAACATGTGAAGCTTTACATTCATTAAGAAGCAAAAGCATGCAGTGACACGTCATCGCTGTCTGCAGCACACACACACACACACACACACACACTGTTCTGTGATCAGGAGTGAAGAATCTGCAGCGTTTCCCGTCACAATGTGCAGCAGAACGTCTGCAAGTTACATCTGAAGATCCACACGATTCTTCATCAGCCTGAGAGATCACGTCAACGATCACAGTGAACATCGAGAGAGAACAGAATGAATATTCACCAATCCGTTAAAATTCATAAATATTTGTACTTTAACTGAAAAACTTTAACTCCGTCCTCTTCTTGTACTTTAACTCCGTCCTCTTCCTCTTCCTCTCCTACTTCCTCTTCCTCATCTACTTCCTCTTCCTTCTTCCTCTCCTACTTCCTCCTTATCTCCTCCTTCCTCTTCCTCTCCTCCTTCCTCCTCCCTCTTCTCTCCTACTTCCTCCTTATCTCCTCCTTCCTCTTCCTTATCTACTTCCTCTTCCTCTCCTCCTTCCTCTTCCTTCTTCCTCTCCTACTTCCTCCTTATCTCCTCCTTCCTCTTCCTCTTCTCCTTCCTCTTCCTTCTTCCTCTCCTACTTCCTCCTTATCTCCTCCTTCCTCATCTACTTCCTCTTTCTCTCCTCCATCCTTTTCCTCTTCCTTCTTTGTTTGATTCTTCTCCCCTTCAGTTCTGATTGTGTGTGAACGTTTCGCTGATTTTGAGTTCAGGTTGTGGTGACGTCTGATGGTTTTTGTACAAAAGACACAAAAATTGTCATTGTTTTGTGAAGCACATGTGCCCATTCAAACAATACGCTCTATGCACGAACCCTGCTGACGTATGTCCGAAAGAATCTCAGCCAGCTGCTTTACGTCCGCTAGCGCGTTCTGCAGGCAAAGTATATAGCGGCAAAACTTTAATAAAATTCGTTTTCTCAGAAAACGAAGACAACGATTTTAGAAAC